CAGTCGCGCTTAACAGTATCGTAAGGTTGAGATCGGACGTCAACATTTTTATCAGGCGGTTCTGGCAGCCGCTTCAGTTCATGTAGCGATCTCACCTTCCCACCCATCCCACCCCGGGAAGGACATCCACTACACAGTAATCTCGTGCATGGGAAATTTTACGTCTCATACCCCTAACCCTTCAGGAGACGGGACCTACGTCTTATCCGAGAAGACGAAGCAATGTGAGTGAAGCGTCTTGCTTAAGGACACAACGTCATGCCCCAGCCAGGACTTGAACCCGGGCCAACCGACCCAGAGTTCAGCGCACTGACAGCGTACTCACGTAGGGTTAATAGTATTGATAATAATTATAATAATAACAATAACAATAACGATAACAATAACAATAACAACTAATACTCTGGTACTCTGTTTTCATTCACATCTATGATTTGTTCCTTCTTCTTAGTGATACAGTCTCTGAAATCCAGGATAAAATCGGAAAACGAATATACGAGTCTTGTCTTGGGTAAGTCCCTGTAGCATTATGTTGGTGGCGATCGCAGCTTTTTTTAACGCTTCTTTCATGGATTGTTGGAGAAGTTGAAAATTGCGTCGTTTGTTCAGTATTCATGTCTAATTCCATTGCAAGATTGCGAGGTGAACATGTCGCAAAAACCTCTCAAAAAAGTTTTTTTCCTCTGGCTTGATAGACATGTTTTCGAGAATCACAGGAACTAACAATTGTATTAACAGCACCACTATGCGCCTCGATTTGGAACAATTTTTAATTCTCTCGTGATTAAAGAATTCGTAAAATTTTAGTTGTTGACTGTTTAGTTATTACTATTTTTAACTTGAACATAGGGGAAAGCTTCCGGATGGCAATAAGCTTTTAGAGGCAGATGAGATCATCAAGCTGAAGAGATGTATCCTTGGCGCTAAGGTAACACGTTGACTGATTTTTCATGACCGAACAAATTGCTAAAACAAAAAAGGGAGATTTGAAACAATGATAAACAATTCCCTTTATGTGCAGAAATCAATGTATTTTCAAGAGAGAAGATGGCGCGCTTATTGACTCAGTAGTTTCTTGAACCAAGTGATGACAACAACTAATCAGGGTTGACGAAGAAAGGAACCAATGAGAATTCAAAGAAAATGCGCAGAAACAAATCCAAGCGCGGGAAACCGCGAGTTACCAAGTCGCCATTGGTCGTAGTCTTCATTTGATTGGTTAAGATTATGGTGCAAGTATTTTGGTCAACCAATGAGCGTTGGGAATCAAAACCAATCACATTCGGCAGGTACTCAGTTGAATATTTCTTTGCCGTGAATGATCAACAAGACTATTCGCAAGGAAAGAAATGAGTCTCGCCGGTGGACTGCAATTTAAGCAATTGCAGAAAAGAAGCTTGAAGAAAAAGTTTAAGCTTGAACAGGATTTGAACCTGTGCCTATCAGATACTAATTAAGTGTTACTCTCCACCGAATTACGAAGCCGCGCGTAACGAGCGAGTAAAATTTTAAAGGGTTCATTTAGCCATAAAGGAACCTCGTCACAATGTATTTCATTAAAAGTTGTGGTGAGACAATTCACATCTTTGGTATAAAGCCTGGCAGCAGCCTTTTTTTTTTCAAACTTGTCAAGTTATCTATAACCGTTGAATGTTGTTAATCTTGTTCCCCCGTAACCAACTTTGTTTCGTTTACTTCACTCACGTTTCTCATTTTTTGTGGCTCAGCTACGAACTGGAGAGATCGAGACATGGATAATCATTGTAACATCAGTGTTATAAAATACATGACATTTTTATTGATATTTTGCAGCGTCCAAACCTTCCTGCCATTGTGACTCACAATATGTTAGAAGACTCTGTGGACCCCATTCTGTGTCACCTTCGCAGGACGCATCTTTTCAACAAGCCTGAGGACAGAGTCAAGGTTATTCTTAATACAATTCTCTGCTTCCAGTCAACTGGCAATCACTCGTTAAGTCTCGCAGTCTTTTTCTAAGGAAGCACTATGCTTGACGTGAGATATCGTAATCTGGTGTGGATGCGAATATGAATGTCTTCCATTGTGCTTGCCACGAAGTTTTACGTCCTTCCATATATGGGTATGAGATGTTGTGGATATTTTCCAACGCACATCCAGCCTTGCTATTTTTAGGACAAATCTCTTCCTCTCCCTCACCGCCGCAGCCTTGAACTCAGTTCATTGAGAAATAACCTTTGTTTTTGTTGCTGTTTTTGTTGTAGGTTATTTTTCATCCTGAATTCTTATCCACGATTAGTCCTCTTCTTCCCATTGACTACAGCGAGTTTGTGCGAGGCTGTCATTTGGGAGTGTTTCCTTCTTATTATGAGCCTTGGGGCTACACTCCAGGTATAACAACCTATTTTGATATTGTGTGATAGACGCCATATTTATGACAACTATCAAACGATATTTACACATTTATATTTGAATAAAGGTTAGGCTCAGGGTTTTAATTCCCACTCTTCGTTTTCTTGAGGTGTAATTCTCTGAATCCAACACTTTTTTTTAGGATGAAGAGTAAGGTGGCGTGAAAACAGTCTTAGGCTTGATTTACCTGTCAAAATTATGGTTATTATTCAGTTCGAAGAAAACGCGTTGATAATTTTGAAGCCAGTGAAGAGATCAGTAGTGTTAGGGGGTGATTTTGTAGGTTTAGAACTTCGGAAGACTCGTGCAGCTATAAGACTTTCAAACGTTTTCCATTCGTGCCTACAAATCACGAAATACATTTTGAGTCAATCAACGAATCTCTCGGACATAAATTGTTAGTCTCATCGGTAGATACATTATTTTGTTTTTGCTTTTCCTTGTGTTTTGCCGATTATTTTAAAAGTTGCTAAGTGAATGTCACATCTGGTTGATGATGGCACATTTTATGACTTTCTTTTTTCACAGCGGAGTGTACTGTGATGGGAATCCCCTCCGTGTCCACCAATCTATCAGGATTTGGTCGGTTCATGGCAGAGCACGTGACTGATCCTACATCCTATGGCATTTATCTTGTGGACAGGAGATTCAAGTCAGCTGAAGAATCAATTGTCGAACTCACGCAGGTTCGACAACATGCAACACCGTCTGATTCGCGTTACTCTCGGCCTAAATACAGAACATACTGTCATATTGAAGATCATATTGTGTAGCTCGCTTGCCACTTGCAAAATGTACCCAGCACTGCCAGGCCTTAAGTCATAGTTGACGTTTTTCACAAAAAATCACTGCGCAATTTCAACGGAAACTTCAAGGCGCCTGCTATAATTAAATGAAAACCTTGCTTTGACAGCGCAGCTTCCTCTTTTCCAGCAATCCAGTCATATTTCCATCTTGAGAAAAAATGTTGTACAATCAGGCTAATGTTCCAGCGCTCTGGCCATAGAGGCGGTCTCTCCTCGTTACTCTAGTGGTGGGTTAAAACTACGTGTAGTCCTTACACACCATAACCTGCAGTGCAAAATGCAGGAGTCTTAAAAGGGGACCGCAAGTTATTGTTTTACGGCTACTTATAACTGATTGTCGTAAAATAAACACCAAGAAGGCCAAAACTGAGGCGCAAGAAAACGGGAATTTTATCGCTGGGAGAGTCACAAAGTGAAGTTATGCAACTGAAACCAGTACGACCTTGACATTCCATTAAACATTCCCCTGGCGAATTTACAGGCGAATTGTGAAGAAAATCTGACAAGATGCAGGGGGTAGCCGGCGATTGACTAGCAGTCGGAGTAAATTCTGGTTGGTGTGCGATTCAAATCCAGACGAAACCTTTTCACTGAAAATATGGTATTTGCTTTCTGTTACAGTACATGATGAGTTTTTGCAAACTGACAAGAAGACAGCGAATCATTCAGAGGAACAGGACAGAACGTCTTAGTGAACTCTTGGATTGGAGGAGTTTGCACCGGGTGAGATCTCTGTCACTTTACGGATAAAATTTTTGGTTAGATGAAAGTAGTTATCCCTTCTTAACTCTTTTTCGTCGCTTTGTTGTAAATACTGCACGTGAAAACCTAGCCTACGAACAGGCCCTTGTTAACAGCGGGGTAAGTCTACTACGGTGGTAGATAATTTGGTTTTATCAACTGAGTTGATAATGTAAACTGGCCACCATGAAGAGTTTCCAAAGCTGACGCTTGGAGTGCTAGCCCATATCCTCATAAACAGTGCTGTTGCACAAGCGCATCTTCACCAGCGAGTATGTTAAAGGCCATCTGGCGAGGCTCACTGGGAAATGAAGACTGTTCTAAAACTTCTGTTTTTTTTCGTTGTTTCAGTATTACACCCGTGCACGGTTACTTGCCTTGCATCATCTTCAACCGGACAAATACGAGAAGCCGAGCATGACCGAGGAAGCGGTGAGCTCTCAGTGATGTTGGTTGATGGGTAATTTATGTCTTCCTCTTTCTAAGTTTATTTTCTTATCGACCGAGTGAAAGGCCTGGAAAGGAAAATATTTGATTGGAGGTCGTGAGGTGCGGACCGAGAATGAGAGCCAACTATTTTCCCTTCCGACTCTCCTACTTAGTCAATAAACAGTTTATCATATGACCACTATTAAAATGACATTAGATTTTGTTAGACATTTAAGAATAAATATTAGCGAGAAAAACACACAACGTTTCGATGACTCCATGTCGTCATTCTCAAGTGAGAAGGGAATAAAAATGAATAGCTAATTTATACCGTACGGAGGTGACAAACGTAAAAAGTTAAAAAAATTTTTAAAAATTTAAATAAATAATTGCGCGTGTTGAGTTCATAAATGTAAACTATTAAATAAATAGTTTCGCGCGTATGGAATCCGATTGTTTGTATCGATGAGACCTATCCTATATGCCACCGGCATTTACAACTATGCCCTCGACAAGTGGCTTGATGACAAACTGAAGCCCCTGTCAAGCAATCGCTACACAATATCAGATACCTTCTCCTTCGCCGATGAGATTCAAAACCTAGTCATCGACGAGAATGGCATTCTGGTATCCTATGACGTCACGTCACTATTTACTAATGTGCCGCTTCAAGAAACGATCGAAATCATTGCTGAGAAGGCGTTCGCTGACAACTGGTTTAATACTACACACGACCTCAGCATTACAAAGCCTGAACTGGTTCAACTTCTAGAAGTTGCAACTATGAATCAACTATTCCAATTTGATGGCAATCTTTACGAGCAGATCGACGGTGTGGCCATGGGTTCTCCATTGGGCCCACTTATGGCAAACGCATTTCTCTGTTCTATCGAAGAGAAACTAGATCAAGACAACAAGCTCCCTNAGATTCGTATCGAGAACTGTCTCCGAAACAGATATTCCATCTACATGAAAATGAGAAGATAATTGCCTTTTCACTGCGTCAGCTGACTTTTGATCTTTAAAAGGCAAAACCACTCGGTGAACAGCATTTTCGTTGACGGATAATTGAGCTTGCACTACAGGGTTTTCCGACCTAACTGAGGTGACAAAGTGAGAGATGGTGGAATTGATGAGGTGGTCGGGATACTTGAGGTTTGTAAACATCATCTTTAGATGATCACATTCAGATTGGAAGGACTCCCATGTGGACGACAGGCGGAATGCACGATTCAACATGCCATCCGTCCATACACTTCACCATGGAGCTAGCATCTGGAAACAAGTTACCTTTTGTCGGTATGGAAGTGCTCAAGAAAGGCTGTAAACTAGAAACTAGTGTTTATCGGAAACCAACAAACACAGGCCTATTGCTTCATCACCAGAGCCACGTCGATAAAAGGTACAAGAAATCACTACTTAAGACCATGTTGAATCGTGCATTCCGCCTGTCGTCCACATGGGAGTCCTTCCAATCTGAATGTGATCATCTAAAGATGATGTTTACAAACCTCAAGTATCCCGACCACCTCATCAATTCCACCATCTCTCACTTTGTCACCTCAGTTAGGTCGGAAAACCCTGGAGTGCAAGCTCAATTATCCGTCAACGAAAATGCTGTTCACCGAGTGGTTTTGCCTTTTAAAGATCAAAAGTCAGCTGACGCAGTGAAAAGGCAATTATCAGATCTAAGCAACAAAATCGATCACACCCTTCATCCCGTGTTCAAGAGTCGCAAAATCTGTGAAGATCTCAGAGTACGTGAGCCTAAACCTCCTATAGTTAGCCAACAATGCGTTGTATATAATTATAAATGTGATCTGTGTGATGCAGAGTACGTCGGGTACACCAGCCGGCATTTACATCAACGTATTAATGAGCACCGTAATTCGGCCATCGGCAAACATCTAAAGAACGACCACGGCCTACAAACCATCGGCGACCTGACCAAGCATTTCAACGTACTTAAAAAGTGCACCGGGAAACTGGACTGTGTAGTTCATGAAATGCTTTTCATAAAGTAGATGAAGCCCTCTTTGAACAAACAATCGGATTCCATACGCGCGAAACTATTTATTTAATAGTTTACATTTATGAACTCAACACGCGCAATTATTTATTTAAAATTTTAAAAAAAAATTTTTTTTTTTTTTTTAACTTTTTACGTTTGTCACCTTCATACGGTATAAATTAGCTATTCATTTTTATTCTCTTCTCACTTGAGAATGACGACATGGAGTCATCGAAACGTTGTGTGTTTTTCTCGCTAATATTAATTCTTAAATGACCACTTTTAAAGTCTTGAGAATTTCAAAAATTTGATTCAACCAAAATAGGTGATAGACGGGTGTTTGTGGAACAACCCTCCGCCCAAAAAAGGACTTTATAATGATAAATTGCGAATTATAGCAAGGAATTCACCAAAAAAACGCTACTTATTTCCTAGTTTTTGTTTTCCTTAAAGTTCAACTTGAACAAAGTTTTCCTTTTTGCAACAGACCCGTAGGAGTGTGGGGCCAAACGGCATTTTCCGTCGGGCAATAGTCCTTCTGGGCCCTCACACGTCAGCTTTAAGAAGGGCTTTCGTGAGCGGGACCGCACGGGGCCGGACGGGTTGTGTGATAAAACTTGTTTATTACTTTTACTATTGTGTGATAAAAGTCTTGACCTGTTTTTAAAATCAAACTCAATTGGAAGCTCTAGCTGATCTCTGTGCTGAACTGTCTGTCGAAACCAAGGTAACATAAAACAGCAGTCAGAGTCGTCGATCACAGCAGCCAGTCAGAACAAAGTAAAATATTACGAAGAGCCAATCAGCTGATGTGAACTCTCAGTATATATACAACAAGGACTAAGAGACCTTAGAGAGGGTGGTGTGAATTTTATAGAACAATACAAATGCGGATTACTTTGACAAATTACTTTCAGCTTTAAATTGAAAAATTCTTAAGCTACATGTTGTGACTTCGCCTCGCGCGGGAGTTGTGCAAAGTTGTTTTGTGTAAAGTTGCCGGAAACATTCCTCAAATGTTCCCACATCCTAGCAAAACACTACATTATTATTGTGTAACTTTTGCTGTTACATTTACCAGTATAAGACCCTCTTAAATCCGTAATCGCTGGCTAACAAAATTTGACTTGATTACTATCTAATTTTCGACCGTTTAAATCTTTTTTTTTTCTTTTTTCTTTTGCTGGCAAATCAAACCATCTATTGATTTTCGATTGATCAGATGTTTGTCAATTAGTTTTTGGACATATTAAACCGTTGGATGTTATTTTTCAGCAATCGAATTTCATTTATCCACGCCCAAGCTCAGAACCACCATCTCCGGTCCCCTCCGAATGTGGCTCGGACACTGGCGAAGATGAAGAAGACACAAAGCATCGACTCTTTAGTGATTAGACTGTTTTACCACGGGAATGATTTTTAGTTTAAATAAGCAACGTGTTCTTTAGATACAAGAATTTTCTTATCAAGTATTCCTTCAATGACTTAAAATCCAAACAAAATTTAAAAACAAGGCATCTGTTACGCTTAAGTCATATCAGTTGCCTGGCTTAATCCTCGTCCTTGTGACTTCAGTCGATGTTTTTGTAACGTATTCTTTCGACGATGAGTCACGCTCTCTCTTCGAAATCGGCGTGACCAAAATTACCTGCTATTTGGGGAAAGAGTTGAGCCGAGTACCGAGCCAACTTTTCCCCATTTCACTCTGTTATTTAAGTAACGCTTATCTTTGAGATGCGGGATTTGACGAAGATTATGTTGCATTTATAGAGTGTTTTAAGTTATGTTTTATGGACTGAAAACCGAATTGATGCCAGTTAAGCCACAATTCATTTAGGGAACATATTTAAGAACCGGAGGGGATGGCGACAGTGGGTGTTCTTTCGAAGTGAAAATTCGTGGAAACAGCAATAGAATTTACGACTAGAATTCAATTAACATCGCTTTTACACGCACGCACAAATATATATATATATATATATATATATATATATATGTGACGATGAGTATTTCGTGTAAGAGTGATATAGTTAGTCTCAATATTTCTAATCTGAGTGTTTATAGGTAAGACAGTTTACATATTTAAGCTGTTTAGCGTAAAGTTGTAAGATGTAATTTAATTCTTTACTTGCTATAAACATGGTTTATTTTTACTTTTGAATACCCAACAAATTGAGAGAAATGATAATTACTCAATGAGATGATATTCTTGTCTAATGCGCAACGAATACAACCAGCGAATTAAAGAAAGTTTATCGTTCACAATATTGGTGACACTTCTGCCTTGATTCTCATCTCACTAACTGTTTCTCGTCAGCGAAGCCTCCTGGGTTTGCTGTGTTTTTTTTTGTTTTGTTTTTAAGTTGTTTTGTATTTATTTTTGTTTTTCTTTATGATTTTGTTTGTTTTAGTTTGTTTTTGTGTTCTGTTTTTGTTCGTTTTTGTGTTTTGTTTTTGTTCATTTTGTTTGATCCTTCAGTACCCGCTATATCTCTCCAACATACGAATTACTTCGTTTCCTTCAGTGAATTTTTTATAACCCTTTCATTCGCAGAATCAAGTGATCAGTTCTCTGGCCTGTTTCACATACATTTCCTGCAGGTTAACCACGGAACTTAAATTTGTTTTAATTCAAACAATGGCATCTGTTGGATATTTTTATTGCATCTCATGATCACGTACCTTTCTGCGCGAAAATGTGTTGATGTATGGACGAGGAATTGCTGCACACTGCTGGTACGAAAAGGTTTAGTGTCACGGGAGAGGGAAATGTCGATAAGAAACTTTCCAGACCTTTAAAAATAAGAAAGGTAGATGCATTCAAATCGACCACACATTTTGCATCGTTATCTGACAAATAGATTCAACTTGGTTGAGGTGTAGATCTCATATGACGTCAGAATTTGAAAGAATTTGTGAAGAACTACAGGTATCCATGATGTACAAGTTACCAGAAATAATCTGTAAGCGGAGAGGCACACGGCAAAAAGGAATATTTGCTTGGGTTTTATCTTCTATGAAAAGAACACATTTCCTTTGTGGTTTTATTAACTGAGTTGATAATGTTAATTGGCCGCCGTAAAGAATTTCTAAAGCTGAAGTGGCGAGTGTTCACCCTTTCTTCGCTCTGACGAGGGGCTTAGCTCGAAACGTCATCTTTAGAAACTATCTTCGGTGGCCACTTTACTTCATAAACTCAGTTGATAAAACCAAATTATCATGTAGTACCCTCCACCGATACGCAGTGCCACAGTTTCTTTAGAAAATGTAACCCATTTATTCCCTTGGTGACACTACGTATTCTTACGAAGTCTTCACTTTCAAAGAAAACATCCATAGATATTCTTCCTTCCCTTTTCGAGTGTTACTACTTCGTCAGAAGCTCTTCACTCTGACGAAACGTTCGTAACGTCATCTTTTGAAACTCTCTACGGTGGCAATTTGCATTATGAACTCGGGTGATAAAACCAAACCGACGCAGTACCACTGTTTCTTTAGAAACTATAACCCATTTATCCCATTGGTAATACCACGTATTCTTTGGGAAGTCTTCATTTTCAAAGAAAAAAAAATCCGGAGATAATTTTTTTCTTTTTCGAGTGTTAACCCTTCGTCAGAAGCTCTTCGCTCTAACGAAGGGCTGACGCCCGAAGTCATCTTCAGAACTTGTAAAACCATATTACTTTGTGATACCCCCTCCGACGCAGTAGCACTGTTTCTTTAGAAACTGTAACCCCTTTATCCATTTGATGGTACTGCGTATTTTTAAGGAAGTCTTTCATACAAAAAACACACAGAGACTCTTCCTTCCTTTTGATGGCCCAGTGCTTCTCCTTCGTTTTGGTTTTTTACTTTTTCCGACATTCTTTGAGCGGTAGTACTACTTTCAATGAATTCTCTCAGTTCACCAGCTTTTCTTGATGCAGTCGCTTCACTCTTTTCATTTAAAATTATGATGTGATCGGGCTTTTAATTCGAATTCATAAAACCACTGGAAAAAGGATGATTGATCGTTTGGAAAAAAAAAATCAGTTTTTACCCTATGGAGTTTTAACGTTTGATGTCTTTGATTACTGAGGTAAGGCATTAAAAAAAGTACGTGTATGCAGATGGAAGATTGCGGTTTTTGAATGATGCATTTTTGAGCTACGTGATGCGATTTACAACTGGAAACAATAAAAGCGAAAGAAATTGTTTGGGTTTCAGTCTCATCTCATGTATAATTCACTCTGTTGGCTTCTGTATTCTTGGAAGCGTCGCTAAATTGTTGTTATAACTGTGGAAACACATAAAAACACGAAACACCAGTGATGAAAAGTAAACATTGTGCGTATTGAGTCTACAATTGTATTTATCTATTCGGCTCCCGTCGCCAAAATATTTATGAATTTGAAATGCGGTTACAGCCAAGTTTTCGTGGACGAAAACCATCAAAGATTAATAACTTTTACATGATTCACTCCCTTGCAATAAACATTTGTCACGACTAATATCGCGCAATTTTCGGAAGATATGATCTTGAGTATTATGAAAAGTGTGCATTTATTATTCATTCGAGAAAAAGTAATAATACGAAGGAAAAATGCTCGTGAAGTTAAACGATTTCAATTGAAAGTGGTCGTTCTCTCGACAATGGCGACGTCTACGAATTATCGCTAAGGAATATAGCACTCACCATGAACATAAATATCACGAAGAAGCTACAAGTTCTACATACTTTGTTCAGGTAAGCAAAGACATGTGCTCGTTATGTTATGTCTGATCCACCAGAATGAATGTTGACAGATTTTATTCAAACCTAATCTCCTGGCGGAAAATCGCCGACATATTTCTAAGGAAACTTTTTTCGACCATTGAACTTATGCGTTTGTCGACCCAACTATGTTACCTCATACTTATATGTTCAAGTTTTTGTCGAAATTTCAATACTGTTACGACGAAAATTCTGAGAAATTAATCAATTCTTGCTTTAGAATTTCGCTTCTTTTTTCCCTTAAAAAAGGTGGAATTGCTTAAGGATTTTTAAATTAGATTATTATTAGATTATTAAAATAGCTTTAGTGCTCCCGCCCTACGCTAACGTGATACGTGACAAAGAGATGACCCACAAACAGGAGTATTGCGTGACACAATGAAGCCTTAATTAGCAATTTTCAATGACAATGTAGGCCAGATGTCAATATTAACCAGACTTCCCGTTTTGTTCAGCCAGAGTTAACTCTGGTTCAGCTGTGTGTTCAGCAAAAATTCTCATGGTTCGTGAACAGCACCATCTCAAAGTGAAAATCATTTTACCTGCTAGAGAAAGTGCTAACAATAATTGCCTACATCCTATCGAAACTGTGAAAGATACTATAGCTAGATTTTAAACCAGTCTCTACGCTGATGGCCAATTTTCGAAATAAACTAATAAATGAAATGACATAGTCGTTGATGTGTCACTGTGAACACAAAGCCAAGGCCTCTCGTTTGCTTGCGAATATTAAATGGCGAGAGGGCTGTTGCATTTCGAATTGCTAAGTAACCCGTACACCCGAAAAAGACTGTGCATTAGAAAAGAGCGGCAAAAAGGAGATAAAGAGAACAATCTGAGTATCTTAGCTTAGTCGACGATCAAAGATAGGCATTGTCATGGTAAAAATGAAAATTGTAGGAAATCGTTCATTCACCAGGGAGCTGCACGTTTTGAAGTCTTTCGTTGGATGATACCATAACTGTTGATGAATTGTTTACGCTTGCCAGAGTATTTTAGGATCCTTCCACAAGGCATGATTTGTGTGGCCCAATGAGAGTTAGAGGGAGATCGATGACTAAAACCTTTTACACTTGTCGCCGGTGGCAAGCGTTACGTCATCATCCAGTTCAGGAATGTGTTGCGCAAGCGCGCGCTGCGGAACTTCGAACAACAAACGTGAAAAGAGGTTAGAGAGATGGAGGAGAAATGCTTCCGTTTTAATTCTCATACTGCGACATAATGTCTGGTTTGGTCAAGAACCAGATTGCGAAGCAACTCGCCAGGTATTAAAGCGCTATATTGATCCGACGAAGCTATATTTGACGCGAACCGCGCACGTGAATTTGTTAACGAGTTGTCCATTTCATTTCGCTTTAATTCTGTCAGGTTCACGAAGAATCTCTCCCCAAACAAAATCAGCGTCAAGTTTCTCAAGGGGGAAGGAGAACTTCACAACCTAGAGCTAGACGAAACAACGCTAGCCGAACTTCTTGAGTTGCCGCCTTGGATTCGTCTCACGAAAGCGACGTGCAACAGAATATCCGCCAAGGTAAAAAGTTTTAACCTGGCCATTGTTGTTATTTTTTTACAGTTATATAATGTATCTTTCCGGGCTTACTTTTTTCTCTCTCTCTCTCTCTCTCTCTTTCTCTCTCTTTGTGATGGAGTCTTGAATATATGTGCTGGTGAATTTCGAAAAGATCGCATCTCGACATAAATGCATCTATATTTTATATAGTATGACTTCAACGAGGAATTAAGCTTCAGCTTAGCTTGTAAGTGCTAAGTAAATCTACACCTTGTTGAAGATGGTTATTCATGGCAGATGTAAAAGTGCGTGTTCTTTCGTTTTGTTTATACAAAGATGATGGATTCTCTGAGCCAATAGATTATGCCATTTGGCAAAGTACGGTTTTTATTTGCGAGAGATTATTACCTTTATTTTTGTTCACTCCCTTCATTGGTGGGAGCTAAACGACTCCTTTTGTTAGATATGAATCCATTTTGAATGGGCCGAGGCCATCTTTGAAAATAATTATAGTAAAAATAAAATTAGAGTCAATAATTTTTAAAGTTTTCAATGTATCCAATTCTTTAAAACTTCAGAAGCCTTTCCCTCATTGTCATGAGACTGTCAACAAAAAAGTAATCATTGCATTTTCAATTCCTGGACCCTTTGGTTTAACATTTTGTGTCACAATGATTTGCATATAAATGGATTTTAGCTTTTAAGCAGAAGAAGTGATATTTGATGAAAGCCTACTCTTGAGAGGCAGATAATCTTTTTTGCTGTATTTGTCAGACTTCTTTACATCTTGAGTGCTAAATGAATTTCTTGTTCAGAATATTCGTGAATTCCAAATGTTGTCATAGAGATGTTCAAGGACTTGGGATGTTTAAAAAATATTCAAATTTTGAATATCCTCTCGCTTCAGACTGAACAAAATAAGGCAATTAAGAAGTCAGCTGTTCAGAATCACTAAACCAATCTGTCAAAAGAAAATTTTGTCAACAAGGTTATGAATTTTTATCAAAGTATATTCCAAGGGAGGGTACATCATTTACAAAGTGCCATTATGATAATATATTAGAGTATATCTGATAAGTGAAATAATGGAAGTGAAAGTGGTTACAGGAGCGGGGCATGAAGTCTTTTCTAACTGTTGGCATTCTTAATATCATTCGAAGAACTATTAATTTGCACATATTCTTTAAACTAACCTTTTTGATTTTGATTAGAAAGATGGTAAATTTTGATCATAGTCTTCAACTTAGAGAAAGTTGCAGTTTGCTTCATCATGATCACATGACAATGAAAAGTGGGCGTCCCTAGGACATTTTGTGGCTATTTATATAACTCGAGAGAATTTTCTTGTTCAAAATCTGCCAAGAACTTTTCCTTAAACAGGGTGCTCTGTGAAAAACTAAATGCCTATTTTTTGGTTCATAGATTCATTGGACTCGACTCAAGACAGACCCAATATGTCTGGTAAGGATGTGTCTCCAGTTTCATTGTCAGAAGACCTTGTCTTCACTTTTTTTTTAGTTTTGGCTAATCCACAACAGTTCCTTTCTCTTAAAATATCTCGTGTATTTTTGTTCATTTTATTCATTTTTTACTTGTAATACACAATAGCATAGAAAGGAGTTGTTGTAGGCACTTTGGAATATGTAAATCGGTGTAAACTTGTCGCAATTAGTCGTAATTAGTCAGCTCCGAGCTCGAGATCTATCCTTCTGAAGAAGTTGGAAGTCCTGACGCCATTGTGATTACACCAATTGTTACAAAGTTTATGGTCTTTACATGGCTGTTTTGACAATTACTAAATTGAAATGGACTTCGAACGTTTCAGATTAGTGCTATGATCAACTTAAAGACCAAATTTGAAGGGTCTTCAAATTGTCCATGCACTAAACGAGGAGCAGCGAGAATTGCAAAGAGTTTGCAATTGACAGACCAAGCTGTTGACATGGAAACTCCTACAGAAACATGTACCCATGACTTAGAAAAAATATGTTAATTTATAGCATTAAAAAAGATAGAAAATATTATGCTTACTGAAGTAAAAGTTGCTGTCATTTTATAGTGAACATTACATGTCAGACAATAAAGCAGCCAAGATATGTTTTAAAAGTTCTAAGGAAATGTAGAGGAGTATCAAGTTTTGAAATTTGAAGCATGCTACAGGGTATTTTTGTTTACAGTACTCAGCGTTCTATGTATTTGTTCAAGCATGAAACAGGCAAGTTTGTACACACTGTTACATTACTGTGTTTGTTTCTGCACATATATACTACCTTTAATCAAGACTTATTTTTCACCAAATCCTGTTTAATGTCATGACTGTGAATGAAGAAGTGCAACATTTTGTTGAGTCAAAGGTGTGTTTCAGACTTGAACAAATACTGAAAAATTGAGCCATTTACTGTGCTTTGTTAGAAAGGGAATTGCTGCAACAAAACATGTTGATAAAAGTAAAGATTTTGATGCAGAAATTATTTTAGCAATATAATCATGTTGAGTGTTAAAGACATGTACTGACTGCTTATATATTATTGACAGTTGGTAAAAAGAAATAAGCCTTCACAAAAAGCCGACAAATTTTTGCTAAAAGTTGAAAAATTATTTTGAACCCTGGTGAGCATTATATTCTTTTTCTAAGCTAGCTGCTTTGATCAGATTTTGTTTCCCTGTTTTTGGATGGAAAGGCCACTTACTCTGCCCAAGAATTTCGTTTCAAGCTTAATTTTGCAGGATGTCTTTTTTCTGTATCCACCCAGCTTCCCCCCACCCCCTAGAATCAAACACTGTAGTTCAATCGTATCCATATTTGAAATTTAATGTTGACAGTGTCCAAGCTGCTCATTTGATCTTTTATAGATAGGCAGTAAGTATCTTATTGAATTCAGATGGGAATGCGGCAATCACAGTATAAGCGGTGCAAGGTAGAATGAATATTGTCAACCTGGAATGATTATGAGCGATATATATATCTTATTAACCAAGCGCGAGGGCAGTACTGGGAGAATACTGGCCCTAGGTCTTGACAGTACGGACCAATTACAGTGAGGTCCATACAAAAAAAACAGAGGGCCAATATCCTTCTAGTACAGTCTCGAGCAAGCTTGGTTAATAAGAGATTTATTATAGGAATGAAGTTCAAAGGGACAAAAGTGCGGTATCATTCGGGACCATTCGGGACAGTGCCCGGTCCAATACTGAGAGAATATTGACCGGCAATAGAGTATTTTGATTGGTTGATTTTAGTTATTGGCCCTCTGACTGCCCGAGTCATGTAATAATTTGCTTCATCGCTCTTCGGGATTTCTACCACTTAAATATTAATTCAGAGAAGGAGGGGATGAGGGTTAAAATTCTTAGAGATAAAATTCAAGACTGTGCCTCTCACTTTCAAGGCTATACACAAACAGTCCCCTTCATACATTCAAGATGTGATAACCCACTACTTTCCATCACGAAATCTACCATCATCCACTTCAATGCATTTAAACGTTGTCATCCATAACTTAAAGTCCTATGGCTCTAGAGCCTTTGTGGTTTCTGCACCTCAACTGAGGAACAATTTGCCTGCCCATATATGTTTTTGTGATAATTTGAATTCTTTTAAATCTAAACTTAAAACATATTTATTCAAGGAAGCCTTTAATTCCAAGGACTGTAATTATTTTTAATTACTGCTATTTATTCATACATGTGTATATGCATATACATGTGTATATGCATATACATGTGTATATGCATGTATGTGTATATGCATGTATGTTTAAGTCATACATGTGTATATGCATGTATGTGTATATGCATGTATGTGTAAGTCATACGTGTGTATATGCATGTATGTTTGTGTATACATTTTACCTCTATGTTTTATATATTGTGAAGTGCCTAGAGCATGACTGGATAGGCGCTATATAAATGCTGTTTATTGTTATGTTTATTATTAGAGATAGGCTAACAATGTGCAGCTTGATAAGGTCACATTTTCACAACTGCATTGGCTTTTATGGCATTGCATTTTCAGCTATTTTCAATAGAGTTGCTAGAATGGGGTTATACATTTTGAGATTTTAGTCATAGAAAATTATGGCAAGTAAGGATTCATAAACAGGAAGGTTCATGGTAAAAAAAAGATAATATTTAATAAACGGCTCCCATTCCATTCCAGTCCTGCCCAAAAGCAAACAAAGATGGGATCCATAATTGGGCACAACATAGGCTAAAATACAGCAGAGGTTCTGAGTAGTCAGCAGCACATACCCAGCAAAATTTGACCCATGTACCCCCCCCCCCCCGGGGGGGGTTTCCTTCACATACTCAAGTACTACAATTTCTATACTTGCAGTGGTTCTACTTTCTATCTTTTTTTTAACACCTTAGGTTACTGATAGCAACTTTACAAGTATTTATAACTTTAATACTTAATCCACGAGTTGGCCACAGGCACCCTTTGATTGGACAGAGTAACATTTCAGTCACAATCTAAGTCAATGGTGTTTGAAAGCCTGTGTTAGTTTCCATCATAAAAGGCAATAGTTGGTTTTTCAACTGTAGAAATGTCCACTGTATATCTCAGTGATCCAAGACAAAGAAATACCATAGTTCATTTTGGCCTTGTGAATTTAAAATACTGAGTCCCTTTTTCACGAAAACCTAGAACTTGATAAACCCCCCTCCTAACTCATTAAACTGATTTTACTTTTTAGTAGCTTGATATGGTAGCAATGAATGAACCCATGTGCAAGGCATTGCCTCTTGGCATCATTAGGATCCTTACCAGGATTCACTCACTAAGGATACAATGTGATTTTACTTTTTAGTACCTTGATTGTGTTGAAGTGGATATGGAAGCAACAGATGGAGATGTTAGCACCCCTCCTCCTGGTTCACATCGGACACACCCATCCAATTCATCCCATCAACCACCTATTAAGTAAGTTGGACTTAGCAATCAAGTAACAAACAATCAATGTTCAGATGTATTCAATGTATGGACTCTTTTTATTTATTTACTGTCATTGATTGGAATTATCAAATTGAATTTGAAACAACTAGAAATGAGGTGAAGGGTTGGTTAACCCTGGAATAGATGCAAATGAAGGCTTCTCCACTGGTAGAGATTTTGCAACCGTTTTACAGCCTAGCTTATAAATAAATTATATTTAATAGCCCTGTGTCTTACTTTTTACTGGTTGCAGTAGTTTTATCCAAAAAATCCTGCAAAATCCAAGTTAAATGTTGCGTGACTTTTATTGTTGATTTCTTGCTGAGAAATGTATTGGGGGTACACTTTTTCAGAAACCATGTCCTGCAATGCTCATGAAATTTCTAGGAAAATCCTCATTTCTAATTGTATTTTGTTTTGTTTGGTTACCTTCCCAACTAAAATTTTTGAACTTGCAACTAAATTTTAGGAATTATTCACAAATTGGAATCGAGAATCTTTTTTTTAATTTTGAACCCTGCATCCATTTGAAAGGCTTGTGATTTTCAAACAAATTGCCCTTGTCAGCACCATAGAACGTGTAAAGAGAACAGTGTGGAGAATGTGCATACCAGTGTTAAGGTTGAAATGGTGAAAATGCTCTATTCTGCTGTTACATTTTGTTTGATAAGTGATTAATGTCTTAGATATTTGTTCTTATTTTTCACAGAGAAAAAGCTCCAAATAGGTATGGTTTTGTTGAGAAAGTGGTTGACGGAATGTTTGTTCAGATAAACTCTGTTGTCATCTCATTCAAGTTTCAAGCTTTTCTTGCCAAATTCCAGATGTCGCGTCTTGTCATCCGGAGCACAACGCCCAAGTGGCAGCCTGATGATCTGCGCTTGACACGAGTAAAAGATGAAACGAGAGGAGAAGTGTTGACATTTAAAGAAATAACATGGCAAACACTAAGGATAGATGCTAATGCTTTGTACAATGTAAGAAACATGAATATAATAATTGTACTGTTAACTTACAGTTGTTTCAACAAAGAAAATAATGGGACTAATTTAGCAACATTGTAACTTGATATACGTGCTGAGTGGCATGGAGTAAAGTCCTGAGGTGAAGTTTGATGCAAATTTTCTTTTCCTCGTATTTCACAAGGGAATACAAGACATTTTGAAAGGAGAAGCTAGGAATCAATCAGGAGTCACAGGTCTTTTTCAAGCGCCCTTTAACTCCCAGAAGTGATTAACATGTAACTTCTCCCTTTGATATCCATACATTATCCAACTAACATGTAATGAGAATATGGAAACATATCAGTAGTAGTTTTTATCTTGATCTAATAATATATTCTTTTGATCATTTTACAAGGATATGTAGCAGCTAGAGGGGAGAATAAACAATCAGATCTTGGGAGTTTAAGCATTACACATAAAAAATGTGACTAGAAGTGATGAGAACTGTTGTTGATAACTGAAGCCTATTTCAGACTATTCCAGAGGTTTCTCCCATTCTATATCCACCTGCTATACTAGTAAACAATGGTAATAATTAACCATTGTTATTCCTTGTTTTTAACCAGGAAACTTTGCAGCAGCAATCAAATCCCCTGAGACTTATTACAAGTCAATCATCTCTACACCTTACTATCAAGAAACGTCTTGACGACTGTGCAGTGTTGTCTGCAAGGCTGGAGCTTCTTTTGGATGACATTCTATGGGTTCTTACTCAGTCACAGTTACAAGCTTTATCTGGTCTCTTACACTCAGTGAACCAGGTTATGTCACAATCAAAAGTTAAAAAAGAACCTGGAACAAATTCCACACAACATACTAGCCAAGCTAGCCAGCAGCAAAAACATTACACTGGTTCTACAATTCACGAACGAAAGTCTGACTTTGAGTCTTTCAATGCTCTGTTTACACGGCATGATGTACGGGAAACATCTTATCACTTAAAGACTGGTAGCATTGACCTGCATTTGTGCGATGATTCAGAAGACAGGGGTGGTGATGGTGGGGCAATGCATTTTAAGATGAATACGTTATCTGTTGACCACTTTCCCTACCATTTGGCTGGAACATCTCGCAGTGACTGGCCGTCTCACAATGAGGCATCATTGACACGTGCTTATTGGGTTAACGAACTTTTGAGTGCATTTAGGAACTCTCAAAGGAACAAACAGTTGTCACCTCAGAGAGGAACACAAGGTCCTCGTCGCGCCAGAAGTGATGTAAGTAAGCGAAGTTGAATTCAATTTATGTTGTGTACTAGTTTTTTTCTTTTGGTGCAGAGATGTTTTCTTTACTAGACAAAGCAAGTTTTAAAAAAAGTTCATCATTTTTGTCAATATAATAATCTATGCAAATTGTATGAGTTTGTTATGTTATTTCTGTCACTCTTGGAAAAGGTTTAGTGTATTATCAAATGAGTTCAACCCTGATGTCAGGGTTCTTCCTTATTTTAAGGACAACAAATATAATAAATTTTCAAACTTGTGGAGCAATCCTTTTAGGTACATGTTGAATTTTCAATAACTCCAAACAATTTTAGGCAAAAAGAAGAGATACTGAAGATAAGAAATTTTATTGGTTACTGCCTGAAAAAGAGAACACTGTGATACATTCAGTGAACAACTGGCAGTGTGCAATCACACTAGATATGCACAACTTTATTTGTCTAATATGTTTGCTATCAGATGTGAACACAATTTAAGATTAATTTTTGTACATCTTTTTAGGGTTCTCTTGTTGATGTGAGTGGCAAAGATGGTTCTTTACATCCCATACCACCAAGTACTCCTTCCTCTCCTCATATAAATTCAAGGAGAATGCATCCGTCAAGTCCAGGACATTCCACAAATACTGGACAAACAGCACATTCGATCAAAAATAATGCACAGCGTCCAGTGTTTATGCTTGAGAGCTGCTTTGTGATTCGTTGTGAGGAATTCTTTATCATGCCTGTAACTACTAGCAATGGTTCTAAAGATGAACTGCCATTTTTATCATCAGACAAAAAAGCATTATTTTTACCATCAGACATGCCAGCATTTCAGCTAGACTTTACTCAGTATTATTACCCTGGGTCTGTTACAAGTGCAGGTAATTTGTAGAAAAAATGCCAGTTTCCAAGTCTTCTTAAATACCTCACACTAACCAAGTTCAAGGTCTCTAATGTAAGTTGCGAACCAAGTGTTTTCTGCTTAGATTTATGGCCCAAGGGCAAAGTATGTGGGCCATAAATCAGAGGGGAAGAACAAGGTTCTATAACTTACAGTATGGACTAAGAAAACAAGGTTACTGGTAGTTATTTTATCCGCAAGTTCAAATAGAGGGAGAAGATTTCCATTCCATCCAAATTTTGAATTTAGCGGGCTGTACAGTGAAATAAAGTTTGCCAAATTGACCAATCATAGGGCAGGTATTTACTAACAATTAGGAGGCAAGCCAAATAAGCATGAACAGAATGTGAAAAAAGGGAGTATTGACTGGGGAGAGGAATGGTAGGAATGTCAATTCAAGTGATATTGTAATCTCTGATTGTAATGACTCTGCAGAAAAAGAGTAAACATTTTTTTAGAGCAAATTGTGTTCTATTATCTTTGGGCTTTGCTTTTGCCATTCACTCCCACAACCCATACTTTACACACACATCTCCCACTGGGATAGAATGAAACAGAAAGGCCTGCCACACGGATGAGCACAGCTATGATGGTATCTTTGGAATAGATGTACAAGTATGTGTAATTCCAGAATATGCATTTTACCTTTTCAGTGCCTACTCCAAACCTGTTTATCCAGTTAAACCCTATCCAGTTGACACTAGACACTGCAACGTGTCTGTGGTTCAGCAGCTTCATGAGAAGTATTCTTGGACAAAGAGTAAGTGTATGTGTTCGTTGCAGGCATTTTATTGAGTAAAACTAATCAGAGCAGCTAGAAGAAAGGAATTTCAGAAGGAACTAATTAAGGAAAACTAAATGCATGTAAAAAGCTTTGAGCACAGGGAAATGGTTACTGACTAAGGTACGATATTCTGATAACAGAAGTTTTGGGATAACATTTCATAATAAAAAATAGCATGACTAAAAAATGACGTTTCTGTGACAACATGTCAACTGAATTAGAATAAAATGAGATAGAGTACAACAAAAGAAAGTACATAATTGTTCTACTCTTTCTCATTTTATTCTAATTCACTTTCACAATTTCCTTTCTTTATAGAATGTAACTGAACCAATAATTTACATTTGACAATGGTGACATATCCTCGCCGAACTATCATGTTTTAGTCACTCTACTTTTTATTATGATGAGTTACAATTGTTATTGTTTTGCATTGTAGTGATTAAGAGTTGGCCAAAGCTTTAAGACTTAATTGATCAAAACCACAGTCACCCTGGATTACCTTTTAGTAATAGTAATAATAATAATAATAATAATAATAATAATAATAAGAACAAGAACAAGAAGAATCAAGAAGAATCAGAGGTGATAATAATAATAATGATAAAGTTAGAGAGGCACTTAAAGAGCTAGTGGGAGACGAGAGCGACACAACAGCTCTGCAGATACAGAAGTCAGTCATCACAAGTTCACTCTATTGCGAGGCGTTTTAAGATTTTGAGATAAGGGATATTAGATGTTTTATCACATTTAAGCATTATCATAGTGATGTTATAGAACTTTAAGTATTTATATTGAGAATTTTACTAAATAGTAATTACGTTTAGGACTAAGGCTTTTATGATTAGGAATTGCCATAGTTCACTCAATATGGCAAGGCACTTTAAGATTGAAATGAGGGATATTAGATGTTTTATTACATTTAAGCATTTCGATAGTGACGTATGGAACCTTAAGTATTTTGACGGAGGTTTTTATTACATAGCAATTAAGTTTAGAACTTTCATTACTAGGGTTTCATAATTAGGAATTGCTGTAGGAATTTTAATTGTAAGGACTTTGGTCGTTGCATTGATTGGTTACAGCTTGCCACCCAATCATTGTTTAGGATATCTGGGCATCCAGAAGTTTTTACTGCCATTATAACTTTATTTTTTCATTGTTTAGGATATCTGGGCATCCAGAAGTTTTTACTGCCATAATAACTTTATTTTATCATTGTTTAGGATATCTGGGCATCCAGAAGTTTTTACTGCCATAATAACTTTATTTAAGGAGGGTAACACTTGATAGTAATTCAACTGATGAACTTGTGGCCCTCAAATAAATCAAACAAAGATTTTAAATAAACATAAAGTGCATGAAAATCCCCACTGGCAGGAGGCAAACCAGTAGGCTATTTACAGACCGCAGCCAAGGAGTTGAACTCGGGGCAACTGAGAACAAGTCCAGTGAGTAGAGGATGGAGGACTTGAACCCAGGCCACCAGATTACAAGTCCAGCACCCTAACCACTCCTTTCACACTCAGTTGAGAATTACACCTTACACCTTACAATCCTTTAAGAGTATTGTGATTGGAGGACAGCAGGAAAAAAAAGCCAGTCTGCCTTTTCATTCAAATTAACTGTTTATACATTTGATGTTCAATGTAACATTGATTATTTTGTTTAAAGACATGGTCCAAGGGTTCGCCTGAACAAGCTACATCTGGTTCACCTTCAGATCATATTGACATCAGAATTGAAGCTCTCATGCCCAAGGTTGGTCTTGACTTCTGTAAATAGGGTTCTTAATTTTGTTGTAATAATGATGATTATGATTTTAAAAATGGTAAAAGAAATTTGTATAGAGCAATTTCTTTGTAGAATTTTTCAAATACACCTCTACAGCAATGTTATTAACGTTCACGATGATTATCATTCGAGGAGCAAAAATAGAAAAAACATAGCTGCCTGATACTTCGCTTAAAGTATAATCGAGAGTGTTGTTTGGTCGCAATGATCAAAAGTCACTTTTAGAAGAGATTGAAAGATTAAAATTAGAAGTAGTTGAGAAATCGTTATTGTCAACAAAACTGTCGTCTTCTTTGTGAGACCCCAACAGGTAGACTCAAAGCGGCAAGTTCAACTTATTTTAACGTATTTTTATGATGTTAGTTTGAAGAATTTGACATTGGATCAACTAATAATCCCCTAACCGTCTCCCGGTTAGCTCA